TCAGGGACGTGGGCGCGAAAACAGCACAGGGTGACGTCATCTTTGAATGTGCTTACGCATCCGATCAGTGTTTACAGCGTGTTATTGTTGAAAAGCTCATTCAATAATTTAATCAGTAGGCATGACGTAATAAACACCAGCGAGTCAGTCTTGAAGGTCTTGTGGTTAGTCTTGTAAGTCTTGAATTGAGGCATATGGAAATAGTCAATGGCAAGCCATTTAAGATACAAAATGGAGATACATAATTTTCGTTTCTGCGAGAGGTTGGTAAGATTCTTGGACATATTAAACGAGTCTCAGAAACAGCATGCATCACAAGAATATGACATTTAAAAGAATTTAAATAAATGTTCTAAATAATTAAGAAGTGGAATTCCATGTTGGACTTCATTATAGAATCTCCTTATTTACAGTATTTTAGCTATCTATAACTCGTCTCCAGCTTCTTACTAAAATTCTGTCGATTGTTTGTAGATGATAAAACACGTCATTTTCTCAGTGTATTTGAAGAGATGAAAGCCTGATCCATAAAACAAATCTTTGATGTAGAGTTCCAACGCTGGCGGGTTTTCGACACTTGCTAGAAAGGTAAATTACTTGTAATTCAGCCAGAGTCTGAAAGTGAGTTCTAGCGGTCAGTTAGGTAGTTTGTTAGGTAGTTTTCCGTAGTTTCTCTGACCTATGCCAGACGGAGTACTAACTTAACAACCGGACCTCGGAAGATATTACCCTCCTCTTCGTGGACCAGATGCTCTTCCCTTACGAACATAATACTTACTCTTACATATCCTAAACTACTACACACATCGGAAGACCACTCAGAAGTTAAGGGCTTGCCCTGCTGAAGCTGTGCTCCCCGCTGGGGGAAATACATGGTGGGAGAAGCCACCACAAGCGAACGTATTAGTCGGCGCCGCATATCACCATATAGTAGGCAGGAACATCTCCACCTCCCGAGATAGAACACGCACTAGACTTACGTGACTAAAACGATTAGCAGTGAGCAAAACGAAATAATTAACCAATCGGAGGAACAATTCTCTTGACGGTAACATCGTATATTCGGCTTCTATTAGAACACCGACTACTATTAATAACTTCACTATGTGATTCTGAATCAACTAGCTAGTGTGACTGCTATTGCGACTTCCACTCAAATCGGATAAAAAAGATAGTTTGAAGTTACGGTTTTTTCAATTTTATGAGCGTGATTTAAATATTCAGAAAATATTGATTTGTAATTAAACGATTTTGCAGTATGAGAACAGATATGAATTTAAAAAATTGAACGAAAGTTTTCAGGTAAACATGATAAAGAAATACTTGAAATACGAGTAGAACTATATTATACTGCGATCTTGAGGTATTTCAAGATTGTTCTAAATAAGGCTTGTTCTTTTCATAAGTGGGTTCGGCCATTTCATGCAAATCTTGCCGATGTGCTTTGCATTATCACTTTTTTCGTGTTACCAATTCAGGAAACAGCTTTAATACTGTTTCAGTTAAACGAACCATAAATTTGCGTCACTACTCGAAGAAGGGGCAGAGAGCCACGTGCAAGTTCCGATAAAGAACTCGGCCTCTCCATGCAAAGTCTCAGCTGATGTACTGAGAATCGGGAACGCTGGAAGTTCTCAGAATCAGTTTCAAGCAGAGCGATCTTTCATCGGTGTTCGTACACACATGTCTGTGGTACCACACATGTATACACGCGTCTCAAAACATACAAACAAAATCATATAAATATGATAACGCAGTGTTTCCCAATCTTTGTCAAAGACGTACCCTTTAAATTACTCGTGTCATGCTGCTTTCCGTGAAAACTATGAGAAAAATTACTACATGCTGTAACCCTTACAAACGGAAATTGGCGTGGGAAGTTTGTCGCGTAGTTGGGTTTTTATCGCTGTCAGCTGAAACTACTAAGAATACGAGACGCTGGGAGTTTCTGGGTAAACAAAAATATAGACTACAACTAATTGCATATTATTGAAGTTTTTAATCAGAAATAGTAGTAGATATAATTACATTTTCTATATTTAAGTGTTCTGAAGAAACATGTGCTCGTGCGTTCATTCTCGGCAATTTCATCTACACACAAACTACTTCTGGAGAAATGCGAATAAATGTTCTAATTATGATTTAGCCATTAATGCAGTTCAGTAGTTTTCAAACCTATATAAGCATGAAACGTTTACTCACTGGAAGATTATTCTGTGATAGGTGATGTGAATGAAAGTAAAAATTGAAATTTGAACAGATATTTAGAGATGGTTAATTCAACAATATATACTTTTTTTAATTTGTTACATTTTTCGTAACACCGTTCTCTAAGCGTTCTTACTGGAGTTGTAGAGTAATCCTGCGTTAAGCTAGTCAGTCATAAATGCTTTTTAGAGTCTGTTAATTGGGGTGTTTGAAAACTACATTCATACATATGCCAGAAAGTAAATGATTAAATATTTAGAGAACTATCATATGCTTATCAAAATAGCTCATTTGAAAATAACATTGAAGAGAGAAACTAATCGCGATTTACAGTCTATTTTGAAATACGACCTAAATATTTGAAAGCGTTCTATGGAACCGAGGACCGTGCTTAACTTTGAAAACGTGTGGTGAACAAATGAGTCATTTTCTACGCCCAGTCCACACCCACCGAATGCCAGTATATTTGAAGAAGGAAGTGTTTCTGAAGGAGGTGCCTATATCGTTTACAGTTACTCTCGGATTACAGAAGTGAGATGGCATGAGTAAAGGAACAATAATGTATAATATTTCCGGAAATTTTCCTTCTGCTCACAATAGTCTATACGTTTCAACAAAGCATGGCAAACCAACTACACTGCGTTCGAGCACAATAGGGGGGTTCTTTACAAAAAAAGGTGAAGTGCTCGGAAACAAGGGAGCAAAGATATTCACCGTTATTCTGAGGAACATAAAGCCCCTCCGCGTAAAGACCTTCTGTGGGGAGGCGTTGCGTACTTCCGGAAGCATTGCTATCGCGCGTGATACCGCTGCAAAAAAACGCACTTCCGCTGAGCGGAGCTCCCTGTTCCGAATACGCACATTCGCTCGCAGTCGGGTGTGGGAAGGAGCGCAACACGTGCAATTTTATTTCTTCCTTCCGCATTAATTACGTTACTCGCGTTTTTAAATTTACTGATTGGTTGGGGATTCTGGTGACGTCAACGTCTGTCATTAGTCCTCTAAGTGTAGTGCATGTTTTTTTTTATTTCGGGAGGTGGCTGTAATGTTGCCTCGCTGGATGGCGAGATCTGGCATCACCTACACGACGCGTCGGCGTGCGGGTTTTTTCCCAACCAGATATCTCCCTCCAGCGGGGCACTCCTCCAGCCGGGACAAGCTCTAAGCTCCCAACCGGCCTGTGTGATAGTGTAGTGCATATTAGTGTGTGTGTGTAATCGGTAAGGATAGGACAAGGAAGAGGAAGGAAGGATCCGTGGTCCGTTTGTTAGGATACTGCTCCAACATTCGCCTGAAACTTCGGAGAAACCTCGGAAACTTACGGTTCAGAGCAGCCGGCCTATAGAATCCTCCTCCAGACAGCGGCTGAATTCGACCTACCTGACAAGCTAGCATCGAAATTCCTGCCACCGTCGAGATCGCCGGTCAAAGGCACTGCAGTGACATCATCTGATTCCTTGACTCACCTAAACCTGTACTTAATGCATATTTCTCACACACTAAGTAGATAGTAGTTTTCAAATGTACAATAACTTTTACGTAGATAATGTTCCCACGAACTCGCTGGTATTGGTATCCAAAAATATGTAACATTCAACAAATACTCAGCCTCTTACTGTATTCCTTGCATTTCTTGATCTGTTCTGTTGACCTGCAGAAAGTCAGTTCCGGTTTTCATTTTGCCGAAGAAGTCCGCACATGTTGAGTCTCATTTGGGAAACAAAGTACTTACCAGAGACAATTGAAGCAATTAAACATTCCTAGTACGAGTAAGATGTAGGGGAATAACGATGGTTTAGATTGCTAAGATGATTAAATCAAAACATTTTCACAAAATCAAAGCCTGTCTTTTTCCGGTTACTTGAGTTTGCCCTTTCACGTAAAAATGACAACAATATCATGAAAGATATCCGTTTTAGAGCTTAGAATGGAAATGATATGTACATTGTGATGATTGTACATTGATTGTACATGATTGTACATTGTACATATGTTTTTATGCACGTGACAGGTCTGACTCAAATATTCAAATAATATTTTACTTGGTTGTTATTTAGTGTCGGACACAAAGGCGATAACTCAGAGCGAGCAGTTTTAAAATCGATAATTGTGTTTGAATTAGTGTTTTGCATTAGTTGTGCGATCTATTCTTCATTCAATCTGTGATTAAATACAATTGCTTAATCCTCATTTGATTTGGTGAACTCGTTGGTTTTGGAAGACAACCGATGTTTGGATTCACAAATTAGATGCACATAAGCTGCGCTACGAACTATATTAACCTGGAATTTCTTGCTACGAGACATACATTGTCTCATATTCTTCACTCGTATTCACAACAAACTCAACAAATTTTTCAACTGTATATAGTAATTCTCAGAACACTTTGAAGTGTCTCCTTTCAATTCTAATGCCAAAAGTTCCTTAGTGCTTCCAGGTTTGGCGTGACAAAACTGGACCATTTTAATAATAGTGCCAACAAACGTCCCAATAAGTTTTTCGGGTACTTTAAGTAAACAAATATCATGCACATTAAATAATTAGTCACACACAGGTAAATGTAATTCCAAAGGTGTTCTCCTCAATGCGTACTAGTAATGTATTTTTCAATTTCAATTGATGCGATTAGAGTGAAGGGAGAAGGATGCAGATGGGCGATGGTTGAGCAGGTTAGTGTCCCAAATGTTTGTGGTGGGCGGAAGAGGTGTTTCGAAAGCGCGATCGGATGCGCTTGACGAGCCAAGGAAGCGGAAACGTCGCGTTGTCTTTTCCACAGCCGTGTGTGAGTCAGCGGCGGCGGGGTGAGGGTGAGGCGGGGCGGGGTGGAGTGGGGCTGTGGCCGAAGCGCCCGCGGGCGGCGGGCTGCCGCCCCGGGGCGGCGAGAGCAGGCAAGGGTCACGGGCGCAGGGCCACGGCTAGTGGTGGCGGGTGGTGGCGGTGGTGGCGGCGGCTGGTTGGCGCTTCCTCGGCGTTCTGTATATAGAGGCGCGACCGCCGCCGTGGCGCACAGTGCAGACATGGCGCCGCTGACGGTAAGTTGCACGCACGAGGCGTCGCACGCAGTTTTGCGGTCAGCGACCTCGGTCGGCCTCGCGTTTACATTCTTTGAGCAGATTCACACGCTTCTCTTGACGAACGGTGCCGGAGTCTTACCCAACGCGCATGCGGGCTCGGGAATGGTTGGTGGAAGGGAAGTGTGCAAATCCAGTCTGTGGTTGTCTTATTACCAGTGCAACAAGGTTTAATTTCGGCTTTGCGTTTCGAATTTTGGCGGAGTGACTGAAGATGTTTGAAGGGCTTGGGGTCGTAACGAGGTGGACTACATCAGCCATAACAAGCCTTGCACGATTCTTATTTGTTTACATCGCGATTTTGGTGCAAATGTAGTTTATCTTGTTATTAGACATCTCTTGTTGATATGGATGTTTAGGATTTGTTGTATTAACAAGATGAGACACACATACCAAAATCGAGATATTAATATTACTTGTAGCTGGTGTAGCTTAGTTTGTTATGGAACCACGCCCGTCTTTGTCACCAAATTGTGATTTACATTGTCACCTCAAATACAACGGAAAGTTTGTTACACTGGGTAATTAATATCTCCTAAGACCTTGTTACAAATTAATTGAATTAAAGGCGTGAATGGTTCAAGTAACCAAATTTCAGTTGAGGTAATTTATTCTTTAATTATTTGTTAATTTTGATACAAAGACTTTTTGACACCATGTTTTCCAGTAAAAGATATTTTTGTTTTCTCTTATTTTATCAATTTTTTTATTTCATTTTCTAATGTTTTTGCTTCTTAAATCCAAAATCTGAATATTTTTTGCTTTTAAACGTATACGAAACCAGTAAAATTTTGTACTAGTCCTGGCATAGATATTACAACGTAGATTTCGAAGAACAACCAATACATGGATTTAATGCATTTTATATGTTGTTATAAGTTTTAGTATAATTAGTTGAAAATGTTTTCAATTTTAGTGAAATTGGAAAATGTAATTTTGGAAATAATTTAACGATTTATAGTTAATAAACACTAATAGTTAAGTTTGGAAGTAGACGTTCAGTGTTTAATTTTAAGACCTAAAATTGTTAGTATTGTTTTGAATGCTAATAGGATGCTAATATATTTTAACACGAGTTCTATTTCCTACATCTAGGTGACACTTTCCTTCTCTGGTATGTACTGATTTATATCAAAATGACACATTCATTACAAAGCAGACTGCTATGACTAAGCATCGAATGCTTGTCGTATATGAAGTTAATGGAGTAATTGCGTAGTTGTAAACTAAACTCACAAAAATATCAATATTTAAAATGTAGAATTTCTTCATATTTCGAATAGCACGTAATGCGCATTTCAGCGACGCCTAAACAAAGAACGGAGTATGCTTAAAGCGTGTTCTGTCAGCGACTGCAAAGAAATCTCCGTCAAGGTTCAACTGGCTGAACCCGTATCCTAGGTAGTTTTTCTCGAGGTCTTCTCAACACGACCTTCTCTACGTACTGTTACAAGACTCCAACACCATTTCAGAGTAGGTGTGATACATTGCTCTACAGGCATTGGAACTTCGAAGCAACATTTCAGCATTTGTTATCCCTTGTGAGATGGACACTTCTACGGGAGTAATGTTAATACATAAACCCCTCTCACTGGGCTACAAAAGGTACCACTTGTTTAAATTAATTAGACGCCGAGGCCGCGCAATTGGCTCCGTGCCCTGGATGGAAAGCATCAAGGACCGGTCGGCAACTTGTTTTCTTTGGTTTCAACCAACATCCAGCTGAAGAGACGCGCATTCTTAACACCTGTATTCATTTATATTTTTAATCTAAATATACAGTAGTGGGTATAACTGAATCCGATTATACCGCATTCACGCTAATTTGAGGGGTTTTGTAGTCTTTTTGCAAATGTATCAATAAAATTACGTAAAGATTACTAATATAATCTTGGTGGACGTTTCGCTAATAGAGATTCTGGTTAGATTCCTTTTTCTCAGGTTCTATTGAGCTAATTTATTGCAAACTTTACTTTTCAGGACATAATCCAAACGGCGCGCAGAGAATACAGAGCTAAAATAAAACAGTTTTTTCCTGTCATTCAGAGTGTGAAAAAGGGGAGAAAATACTAATCATTACTTTCTGTATTTTATGAAACTTTGGATTTAAATTGATGAGATATGAGTACGATTATTTGAATGTTAAAATGTACTCCTGCTCAAAATGGTTACACTATTAATCTTGCTACTGCGCTGGCTGCTGGAGTTTCTGTTCAAGGACATTATTTTTGTTTTTAATGGTTTTGTGTACAAAAACAGCAAAGTTGCAGTTGCTTCATTTGTGATTACATTGGCTACTTTTGAGGTTGAATTATGGTTGCCCAGTGGCTGTTAGTAAGTGTCTTATGCTTTTTTTGGGCGGAGTTGCTTAGCGACTGCTTTTGTGGCTGGGTTGTATTTGTCGGTTTGTTGGGATTGGCACTTTTTATTGTTCGTTATTTTCTCGGTGACATCTGGCGATGTGCTTTCCTTCCACGCCCGGCTGTGTGGGTTCATATAACAGTCATAATTCAACCGTTGGTTCATCATTCAAATCGTATAGAGAGATTACTATGAGAAGGAACCGCTTTGACAGTCTCTGCTTGGCCATTGCTGCCAATATTCAGTAACTAGAAGATATGCCCATGCATTAATTTTGCCAGTGAACTCGTTTACAGTTAGCTCATTTGTAAATCGCTTCATCACCATCTCACGTAATGTTATCGCCCTGCTTGACGTTCGTTTTCTGGCCTGACAAAGTGGTCATTTCTTAGAATTATGTCTCTATAACCACATCTTCACCCAGCCATCAAATCATTCATCTCGGGTTCGGCCGAAAATGCGTTGTTTCCCCTTCCCCCATTGATGATAATATAATGATGATGATGATGATGATGATAATATTAATAATAATAGTAATAATAATAATAATAATAATAATAATAATAATTTATTACTGCAAATAAGCGTACGCTTGTCGCAGTTAATGAAGTAATGAAGGTACACAAATAAAAATTAAAAGTAAGAATACATACAAATATTAAAAAAATATAATACAATAAACAACCAAATAAATAAAATAAAATTAAATTAAATTAAACTAAATAAAATTAAAAAACACAAATCGAGTTATATAAGAAAATATATCAATGTGTCAATCATTCACTTAACTGCATGTTCCTTCGATAACCAGTAATGTATGCATTGACGGTAATTATATGCATCGCATTTTTCCGCACATTGGTTCACCTTTACAGCACTTCTGTAATTATCTCTGTACTCTCCACCTGCACCTGCTTCTGGGAAAGGTCGCTAGCAGCTCTGCAGGTAAACGTGCGACCGTTCCACACAAAGCCCTGGCTTCCCCGCAGATGATGCTGGCGCTGGCCACGTGTTTGGTGGGCGTGGCGCAGGCAGCCGCCGTGAAGAGCAAGTTGCCCATCACCCACCCCGACCACCCGGACCGCCCGAAGCCCATCCAGCCCGCGGAAGACTGCGACGTCAAGAGGCTGCCCTGTGTGCCCGTCTACACCGAAGAGGGCGCCAGGAGACTCGCCGATCTGGGCATCATGGAACAAGTTGCCATACAGCCTTCATTGTAAGTTTGTGTGACTGGATTTTGCAGATGTACTATCTTGTCTTCGGCGGTGGGCGTCCCAGTGCATTTCGAGCTCTTCCCTCTAACATCCGCTAACATTGTAGTAAGTAGAAGGGAATCGATCATGTTCGAATGGGGGTGAAATAAGGCTGGATGTGGGGTCAGCCCGGTGAAGAAAGGCCAATGCTTGGTTCTTGACTCCCTGTGAGGTGCTGCCCCAGCGTTCGTTGGAGGAAGCCACGAAGAGTTGCCCTTAGAATTCCAATGCCCACAGTGGTTTATATTCGATCAGTTGATAACTGGTGTTGCAAATCTGTCTCCGTCTGTACTTGAACCTATAAACTCACACGACTTCTCAGAATTACTCTCTGTATTATCATCTTTATATGAAAATTTCAGAAAAGAGAAAAACTCTTTAGATTTTTGAAATTTGAATTTCTTTGATGTTTTTAAGTTTTTCGTTTTAATATCAAGCGTCTTAAAATAAATATTACAAACTTTTAGGGTATGAAGGCAGGAAAATAATAACTTTTTGCTAAGGAACATGTAGTTGAAAATGTTGTGTAATAGTTAAACGTATTGTAAACGCTCCTAATTTTCAGGCAACTCCTGAGAAGGGTATCAGGCAAATAACGTTTTGACGCAGTCGAGATGATTTCATGAACCTGCCAAATATGTGCAGTCACTAGATGGCCTAGAAATAAGGGGCAAATGTGTAAATCCGTTTTATGAATTTACGACGCAAGCCATTATCGTTTTTTCTATACGTTCTGAAAATTGTAACATTAATACTTTATTTTTAATATTTTATGTAGTTATGTTACAATGATGCACAAAAGATAATTCCAAATAACACGCTATCCAACCTGCTAACGCAACTAATATTTGTTGAATGACACAACTTTTGTTTCGTAAATGTTGAAATTCAAGTTCCTATCTCTCTTCAAAACTCGCAAAACAATCTTTTTTTGCTTCATCTTACGAAAATTTTAATAAAATCCAACGCAATTTCGAAAATCCTTTGTATCGAAGACTGCAACGAGCATTTGTTTTCACATTCCAAAGGAACGAGATAAATTCCTGGAATGACGGAAGGCAATTCTACGAATTGTTAATTATATAGATGTGAGATGAGGCGGGATGAGCTCAAACGCTAATCGTGAGATTCGAGAAGGAAGATCCTTGCAAGATCCTTGTCAGATACAGAGAGGTCACAGTCGCTAGACCTCGACGCATGAGGTGGAGCAGCTCTCTCCAGTACCACGCTCTAATCATCCTATACAAGTAGAAGGTTCTCATATTCTTTCAATAATAATTTATATACTGATTGTCGAGGGAAAGTGATTTAATGCCGGCCTTGAAGAGTTGCTTTTGGTTTTTGTAGTACACAATATTCGTAAAAATGCCCTAATGTCAACAGTCATAAAATATTATTTTTTTGGAACAGTTACACAGGAGTCGTTATTTTAGTCGTTCCAGCATTTCGAAACCAATTTTATTAGCTGATTGCTACTAAATGATATTTCAAACAGAACTTCATATTGTTAGAAACAATAATTGTATAAGAATTTTCTTTGAAAATGGAAACTTTTAAAATTATTTTAGTTTTTCTTAGACATTTATATCTAACGAAAATTTGATAAATTCGCTCATTCATGTCTGGAGAATTTTCCCCGTCGTATCCAGGCAATTATTTATCTTCAAAATACAACTTTTATTCTTCAATATTTCATCTATTTATTTACTCTGCCAATTAACCAGTTTGTATGCCAATTTGGATCCGTCCTGATAATTTTTTTTGTGAGTTTGACGTGACCGTCTATACAGATTCATGGGTACGAAAATCTACGTAAGAAGTATTTATTTATTTGTTTTTGGATACGGGAATTTTTCTTACTAACTTTTAAAAATTATACCTGCTTCAAAAAAATAAGAGTATAATCTTCAGTTTTTCTGCTTCACACAAACAAAAAAATATACATGGCATATTTTATAAGAATTTCATGAACGCAATGACAATACTAACCCTGTTATTATTTAAATATTCCCATTTACTCTTCTCTTGCATGAATGACCATTACCACTAACTATCTTAATTGAACTTTATTAATATAAGACCAGCCTTACTAACTACTTATGTTAATATGTTTCATTAAATCACTTTCCTGTTGGAGTCCACTGCATTCTTGGTCGTCGGTTCTCAGATATACTCGTATTTTCAATTTTCAACAAAGTTCATGTACGTCGTGGCGTCTTCTTTCCACACACAGGAAATACACACAGGAAAGGAGGTTTATACAGTATTCCACTTACAATATTTATACTATCAATAATCCACTCAAGTTATACATTTGGCTATTACCATCTCGGGGAACCATCTACCACCATCCGTTCATCATCGCGTCAGAATAACTGGGTTCCGTCTGTGCATGACAGGCTCTGTTCTTCTGCCTCTAAATATACGCAGTACAGTATCGATTTACGTTTTTCTTTGATTCTATTGCGCTGATTCTCCCCTTCTTCACATGCCTTCTCATTCCTGGCTAATCCTACCCAAATATATTATTTAGTTATTCAAAGAACTATCGATTGTTGGGTTTTTTTCTTAATTTAATGACATGTCCATATGACATTCTAATCACCACCAATTCCACTATTTTTCTCTCTATTAGTCACACTGTACTTTCCTTACATTTCCATTATTTATCACTCATGGTATAATTCTTTTATATTACCAATTGTTGATGTCCTTTATCCTCGTTATTTATACGAAATTTGTCAACATTTTGTATACTTTGTGATGAATCATCACAAATGTATCAGACGTCACGCGGTGGGATTTCACAGGGGAATAACAAACTCCAACATATATTACTGGATTTAGTTTCTCAATCTACACACACAGTAATATCTCATAACTCATATACTAATTCACGTTGTTCTTCCTTTCTCATTAAGCTTCGCCTTTGTAGCAAACCAATTCGTCATTATTAATTGAAGAAGTACACCAAACATTTTGCATACATCGAAATAGGAATGGGGCAGATTTGGGTGAGGGGAATATCGTAAAATTATGATTTATGCTGAAATTAAAGGCAACGAATGGATTTCCTATTTGGAAATTCGGTTTATGTTTTCGACAATACGTTTATGGAGATTGACTATTTAAATCGTGATATCCAAGGGACATTGTGAGCACCTTAAATGATATACAATTGATATTTCCCTACATTTCCGGCGTATAACTTCTGATAGACTTTTGTGTCTTCTTCACTATATTTCGTGTCAGCAGACAGTCATCTACCAAACATCAACACACAACACACCACAAAGTTCCCCTTCTGAAGTTTCTTACTTATTAATCTCGGTACAATGAAGAAAGAGGAATAGTATTATCAGAGGTTGTTGCTTCTAACAAATACGTTTTACAGATCGGTTCAATCTAATCTTGATCGCAATAAATTCTATACTCCGGCATTTTGCAGTCGTAAAATATGTGGTCATATATCTCATTGAAGTAGTAACTGTCATTTGCTCTTGCAAAAAAAACGAAATTAACAATGTAAAAGAAGATACATCGTATGTTGCTATAATAGATATGTATTCGAAAATAAAACGCACACAGAAAGCTATGGAATCTAAGATGTTTCTGAAAACAAATCCACATTGAAATATTATAACGCTACTTATGTTTGGCACATTTTTAATTTTGTTGGAACATACTTATTAAGGTCTATTACATTTGTGTGTAGGTCCATATTTGTTAAGTACATTAGCTGCTGTGTAGCTAAACTAAGCACATATTTTAGTGGGGAAATTAATAATTTACGAAGCAGTCTTTTAAGATGGGCGTTTTGTAACATTTAAAGCGGTTTGTAAAGCCAGAGTGTCCAGCTCCTTTGAACAAGAAAGATGTCCGCACTTATTTCATGAAATGATGAAAACAACATTGATGGCTAAGAGAGTGCCGGAAACGACCTCATCTACGTTAAAAAAAGCATTTGGCAAACTGCCCTGAATCAGGAATTTGGTTGACTCCCAATTTTAATTCAAAAATCCTGGAATATATAAGCTTGAAAATTCTGATGCATATGAAAAAGCATGTGGAACATGAGTGATGACCGTTAGAATAAAAACTCAAAGAATAATTGAATAACTTATAGAAAAATAAATAGAATTAGAAACATTTGAATTAAAAATGTCAGGATTAATGCTGATGATGTTGATTTAAGAGATAACGTATCAATGTTGGGATAATAGGATAAACGGGAGATCCCTCAAAACATCTGCCACTAAAATTCATAGTTCATCACACATTTCACGTGTATCGATCGGAATTTAAATACAAACGCCCGAGGTGAAAGTACCGTGAGTTGGCCACTTTCTACGGATATTTTATGCAGGGAAGCTGTTTATTATGACGCCAGAGTCCAATTCGTAGGTTCTCTCTGGAATGGATGGATGGATGGATGGATGGATGGATGATTGCGTGAGTAATTATGAAGATGCAACGGATAATGATTCCCTGACGAAATGAGAGGCTGTGAAAACGAGTGAGCCCCGAGAAAACTGCCACGACTCCATTTTGTACACTTCAAATTCCATGTGGAGCATTTCCACTCAGACCGACTGAGATTTGAACCACGGTACAAAGATGGGAAAGGGTGACCTTGACAACACGCGGTCGCTCCGCGAGCAGCGACATGTGAAATAAATTAAAGTTTCTGTGGTAGGAGCGTCTTATTAAAGCCTCGCTTTGAGAGTAAGGAACACTGTGCCAAGTACTCAGCCCACTGCCACACTGCCAGTTGTACTGTGAAAGACGTGCCATCAACTTAACTAGCTAAAGCCTGCGATTACAAAGCATAAGAGAAAGACATGTAGAAAAATTGCAATAGAAAAGTACTATATTTACGAGATAACGAAAACCTGTAAAATTGTACCATGTCGTTTAGCAGCTATTTTCCAAGAAAATCGAGA